TAAGCTGCCACAAACTTGCGAGCCCTAAAGGCCCTAAAGGTCCATGACGCCACGCCTGCTTCTTCCGCCCGTGCCGGAGCAATCGCAGGAGCAGCTGGCCCCGCTTCGCCTGTCATGCTGCTCAGCAAAACATGGAAGGGAAGTGTACGGCCACACTGAAGCCTGCCACAGCGTCCATACCAGCACCACCTTGCAAGCGAGTGGTTCCAGCTCGATGGTCTACCAGACGCAATCACGCAAGCCTTCCGCCCTGACCGGAGCAATCGCAGCAGCTGCAGCTGGCCCCGCTTCGCCTGTCATGCTATTCAGGAAAACATGAAAGGGTGAATTCTACGGCAAATTCATACAAGGCTGGAGCCTGCCACAGCATCCACACCAGCACCACCTTGCGAGCGAGTCGTTCCGCTGGCCAGCTCGCTGGTCCTAGGGACACACACTCACGCAAGCCTGCCCCATGGTTCTCCAGCAACTTCTCCAGGTCTTCACGCGACAGGTTCTTAGCTGCCTCGATCCCAACGTCACACAGAAGTCTCAGTCATTTGATCGCTGCAGGAGACTCTTCAACATTGATGGGTTCAGAAAAACATTGAATCCGCCTACAGCAAAGAACCTCACCTGGACCAAGTTTGCCCTGCGTTTGCGGAGCTTCTTGTCTTCCTTCGCAGCAGAACGGAGCTCCTGGCGGAGCTCTGCTCTGCGGCGCTTAAGCTCTGCCATCTCTTCGTGCAACAAAGCCTGACATTGGAGTCTTGTTTTCAACCCCAAAAGCTGGATAAAAAAGGAGACGTGAGTTAGGGCCTCCCCAGATAAATGCGTTTGACTGGGGCAGACTAAACACCTGGATGCCGGCCGAGTGGAAGCATCCGGTTGGCAAGCCTTCAGGGAGGGACGACACACTACGCAAATCCATGACAGCTTTGGTCGAGGGAAGGCCTGTCTGCGTCAGTCTTTCACATCCCTCCTGTGACCACCCCGACCTGTTCGAGGGCACAACATTCTGCGAAGAGCCTGGCTCCTGGGGACAGGTACGGTAGCTTGACAATGGTGAGGGTGTGGCAGCAACGCCGCGCCGCTCTATGGTGTGATAGCCAGCTGCTTGCACGTGCCGAAGCCTGGCTAAAGCAAAGCTTTGGACCCAGGAGGCACACACAGCCTTGGCAATGCCTGATTGCCTTTGTAGTCCCTTTGGCCTTGACTCCGCTCGACCTGCCCATAGTGTTGTCAGATGTTCGTGCGCAGCCGCCCAAACAGAACGAAGGATATGACACACAGGAGGCAGAAGGAGACCCACCAGAACATGACAGCCATTATACATGCACTCATGTTGCATCGAGAGCTCATCATGAGTGATCATGTGATCTATTTGATCGTTGATAATCGTCCGCCTGCAGAGGTCCCTCATTGGCCGGCCTTTGCAGCATGGTGGGCCTCGCGCCGGTGCCTAGTGGGCCCCCAAGAAGAAACAACTGAAGTACTTTGGGTTTGTGCGGGCGCTACTACTGGCCTTCACAAGATTCCCTACTATTGGGCAGGAGTTTTTGTCGAAGCAGCCCGCTTTCTGTACCCTGCTCAACATTTTGCACTCATTGATAACGATTGTGTACCGGTCACACTCTTCGAAGTGCAAGACCCACTACAACTGGCTCACCAGCAGCACCAATGGGTTGACCTGATAGGGTGCGCGCGACCTGTGTCTCGCTTCTGCTCAGGAATTGGCATGCTGCTCTTCGCAGAGGCTCACTTGGAGTACAATGCAGGTTTGGTCATCTCGGTAGGCAACCGCCACAAGAGCAGCCCAATGAAACACGAAACAAGCGCTGCGGCGCTGGCAAAAAGCCTCCAAGCGTGCCGCCTTACACTAGTCTCTCGAGCCAAGCTACCGATTGATCCGAGTGATGCCGCTATTAACGGGACTATGTTCACTCCCTTTGTTGGAGTCCAATGCAAACTGGGGAGGCCCACTTTGGCGACCCTGGAATCCACTGCGTTTTTG